CCCACACCGGTGAGAAGCCCTTCACATGCAACATTTGCAGTAAGAGCTTCAGCATCAAGTCCACCCTCACCAAGCACCACCGTGTCCATAATGGTGAGAAGCCCTTTGCCTGCACTGAATGTGGGAAGAGCTTCACCCAGAAGTGCCACCTCACCCGGCACGTGCGCACCCACACTGGCGAGAAGCCCTTCACCTGCAACATCTGCAGCAAGAGCTTCACCAGCAAGTGCACCCTGAACCAGCACACGCAGGCCCACACTGGTGAGAAGCCCTTTGCCTGCGCCAAATGTGGCAAGAGTTTAATCTGGAAGCTCCCCCCGACCCAGTATTGCAGCACCCACACTGCGAAGAAGCCCTTTGTCTGTGACAACTGCAGCAAGAGTTTCAGCGACAAGTCCAACCTCAGCCAGCACCATCACACCCACCCTGGCAAGAGACGCTATGTCTGCGACAAGTGCGGCAAGAGCTTCAGGCGCAGCTCCACCCTTGCCCGGCACCGCCATATCCACGCTGGCAAAAGGCCACACGTCTGTGGGGACTGCAGCAAGAGCTTCAGGTGCAGCTTCCAACTGGCCCGGCACCGCCGCGTGCACACCGGGGAGAAGCCGTTTGTCTGTGGGGACTGCGGCAAGAGCTTCAGCCAGAGAGCCAGCCTCACGCAGCACCACCGCACCCACACTGGGGAGAAGCCGTACAGCTGCGGGGACTGTGGCAAGAGGTTCACCAGGAAGTCCAACCTCATCCAGCACATGCAGACCCACACCACTGACACGGCCCTTCGCCTGTGATGTCTTCAGCAAGAGCTCCGGCCACAGCTCCCCCCACGACCAGCACATGTGCACCCACACCGGGGACCGGCCTGTGCCGGGGACACGCACAGATACACCGACCTCAGCGCTCTGGGGTGAACGTGGCACCCCTGGGCAGAAATTGCCTCTCTTCCACCCAGTTTTCTCAGAGGCTGGGGGCTCCAGCAGCAGCAAATGCCTTCCTCCCCAACTCCAAACGCCTATTAGTGATAATGAGAATAATTACAGTGATGAGTCAGCACAGCTGGTGCCATCAACGAAGCTGGGCTGAGATTTGCCAGGATATAGCTACTTTTACTCCCCGACTATTG